ATATATAGTATAGATATATATGTCGCGTGATTCGCATATGCGAATGTAAACCGTACGCGGTGGTCGAGGCGGATACCACTTTCGTTAACGTGCTCGGTGATATTGTACTTGGTAGCAGATCTATGCTTTCTAGCCCCAATTGGGCCGCCTATAGTTAACAATTTGCTGGTGACAGGGTCATCTGTACACATTAGTAAGCGACTCGGTTCTAGGAGTGTGTGCCTATTTGCTAAATACACATAATACCGGTAACGTACATGTATGCAAGTGAACACACCCGAGGGTAGCAATTTGATGAATCCTAATCTTCACTTCGTTTGCAATGTGAGGGCCAAATGCTTACTGTTGGTCTACCTGTACACTTATGCGCTTGCCTGTATAACACATGTATGTGTGTGTGTGTGTGTAGATGCATAGCCAGCGCATTAATAAATTTATCAAACTGTGAGGGTACGTGCTAATGAATTTCAATCTAACAATAATCCACACAGCATGTATACATTCTATTAAATTTCAATCTTACAATAATCTTCACAGCATGTATACATTCTAATAAATTTCAATCTAACAATAATCCACACAGCATGTATACATTCCCGTACTACCGGCCACGTTGGTTGCCTTCCTGGGCGCGCCTATGCCCTACTTAATCGGGATGGATGCAAAGTACAAGAGCATTGCTATGAATGAGGGAGGCATGGGCGAAGACATCGTAAGTGGGTGTGTGTGTAGAAGACGTCGTAAGTGGGTGTGTGTGTACTATTCTTGTAGTTCTTCTTGCTCAGTGCTGGTTGCAGACCTGGATGCTAAGTACTATGTGTTGCACTGTACCATGGTGGCATGGAAGAGGCATTATAGGTGCGGTTGTGCGGTCGTATTGCGTTCGTTTGTCAATCACATGTGGTAAATATATCGACCTAATGTTCAAGGGGTATTGTATTCGCGATTGGCCTTGCAGTTAGAGTTGTTTTTTAGGACACACGTGTTGCCTTATCTACAACGGATGCTATATAATACACCTTTGCCAAGAACCAAAAGTGGTGTCGGCGAGGTGCATGCTGTGCTGTGCACTCCTAAATTTCGTCCCATTCCCAAATTTTGGACCGGTATTCCGGGTCCATTTCTGCGGCGGTGGTGCGAGTGACGGGTGGAGTGTGGCTGTGTGGGTGCAGATTCTATTAAGCAGTCCCTTTGTGTGTGGGCGTGTGGTCGTGTGGGTATGTGGGGGTGTGTATCATAGGCAGGCTATTCCAAGGCAGTTATAGCACGATGTGCATTCACTCTCCATCTCAACGTATTGGCAGAGATTGTATTTGAGTGTCAAGTGCGACGGTGGGGCTGTGCCTTTTAAACTGGAGCAGCTTGCAATTCACCCGAACCTGCAGCGTTGAATCATGAGTATAGAGTTAGGGAACTCTTCGCCTGACGCCAGTCTACATATTCCTACCAAGCAGCGAACGAGCCACAACGTGTGTGTGTACTACTGTACTATGACGTACCTCACAGTACTATTGTATTGTACTATCGTACTATACTATCGTACTGTACTAATTACTATACTATTGTACTGTACTAATTACTATACTATTGTACCGTACTATTGTACTGTACTGTTGTACTGTACTATTGTACTGTACTATTGTACTGTACTATTGTACTGTACTATTGTACTGTATTATTGTACTGTACTATTGTACTGTACTGCTGTACTGTACTATTGTACTGTACTGTTGTGCTGTACTATTGTACTGACTATTGTACTGTACTATTGTACTGTACTATTGTACTGTACTATTGTACTGTACTATTGTACTGTACTATTGTACTGTACTGTTATACTATGATGTATCCCACATAGTAGTGTACATACACGAGAAAACTATAGCCCTGTCTTTGCAACCATTTCACTGTATGTTTAGCTTTCACACGTAGTTCGTCTGCGCTACCACATCATCTGTTCACGCGTCTCTCCGTATATGCGATATTCCCAGGTGTATGCCAATCTGGATGAGGGGCACCTCATGTGCGCATCGGCTGCCGCCATAACCCTTCCCCAGCATATACAACGGAAGGTAAGCGTGCAGCACGGGTGGATGGAAACGATACTTGTATCTGCAATGACTAAACCACTACTGATTGGCTGTGTCCGGCCACAACGTTAATTCGAATGATATGTCTACAGCTTGCTTGTATGGTTTGCGTTCTGATAGTCACTAGTAGTGCACCATGGCCAGACAGGCCGAGTGTTTGACCAAATCTCGCTATGCGTACTGGAGACATGTGTATTGGTATAAATGGACGCATGCATATATCCTCTGGGGTTCGAATCATATACAAAGCCATGCTTGATACGAGATTGCTTTCGGATAGTCTCAACGTTTTACCGGTGTTCGTTTGTATACATTATCTTCCACAGATAGCCATGCGTGCACAGCAGCGCGACTTACCTGTAGTTAGACATACCCATATCTCCCATATATGGACGTATGATTATAGTTCTATTGGCATACCATCATACAGAATTGTGCACTACATAGCTAAACATACACTCATGCAGCATGCTGCATATATCCGCAGCTGGGCCGAAGTCTACCCACGTACTTACTTATCTCTATCCAAACGCTTTAAGTGCAACGCACATGTGTATTCCCAAACAATCAGTCTACACATGCGCTTGTTGATCTCTATCGATGCACCTTGCCAGCATAACATACCATACCATTTCATATCTCTCGCAGCACGACTACACGCTACATTCGTGCTTACCCATCTCCACGCATACACACTATTCTACCTTTAAAATTCAATACAGCTCACAGCCAGGTTAGAGTCAGCTGTTAATGTGTACGGACAATACGCGTCCGAGGACAAGCAGGCTGTGTTTAGTATAGCAAGCGAGATACCGCCATCAAAGTCAGCACCATCCAGGCCACCACCCCCTATCGACCACCCAAAGTATGGATATACCCGTATGATTTGTAGTATTTTTGTACGTCCATAGCCCGCATGAATATATAATATATATATATATATATATATATATATATATATACATACATATATATGTATATATATATATCTATATATATATGTATATATATATAAATATATATGTATATAAATAAATATATAT